CTCCACAACCTCGCCAGCATTTGTTGCTTGCTGTTCTGTTAAATTTTGCTAGTCTTACTGGAGTGAGATGATATCTCATGGTTGTCTTGATTGAAGCTTCATCTTAACAACTTGGGCATGTTCTTAGGAGAGGCTATTCCCTTGGAAAGGGACATCATGCCGAGTGAGGGTCAAGCAAAAAGTGAAGACCTTCAAATGAGATGAGGGATCAATGGTGACTGCAGCAATGGTCTCAAGTTGTGTCAGGATTGATGTTGGTATAGGATAGGACAGCGTTCAGATCTGTTCATAGGATTGCTATGAGCCATACTCGATTCGACGACACCTAACAACAGCAATTTACTGGCCTGAGATTCTTCATTTGATTCACATTGATCTGTCTGTATGCTCTTGAGCCCACCCCATTCTACTGAATCAAACTACTGAAAACAGAAATGAGAGAGAGGGCAATTATTATCTATGTGTAAATCCTGTCGGTGTGATGGAGATATACCAATGAACAATGGACAAAAATTTCAGCATGAAATTTGCATCCTTCCATAGTTTGAGTAATTGTTGTTGTGTCCAGTCAGAACCAATTCATAGCTGACCCTCCAGTGGATTTTCAGAGGCAGTTAATCGCATGGGAGTTAATCACACCTTTTTCCCACGGAGCAGCTGGTGTATTCGAACTGCGATTGCAGTGAAGCTTCTTGCTACCAGGCAACCAGAGCTCCCTGGTTTGAGTAGGGTGGCATGTTAAGCAGGGCATACATGAAATATTACAGGAATTCTTTGGAAAAAGTAATAAGGTAAAGGAGAATCAAGATTATAGGGATGAGTGTGGTGGTACCTTAAACAAAGTGATTAGATAGACCTCATGAATAAGATAACATTCATACAAAACTTTAAGGAGATTAAAGAGTGAATCAAGTAGATAGTTGAACAACCTAAGTGCCCATCAACAAACGAATGGCTAGAGAAGCTGTGGTATATTCGCACAATGGAATACTATGCTGCATTAAAAAACAAGGAA